GGAGCTCATTGGACATCCCATCTATGGTAACAGAGACATCCTGGCATCATATATCATAGAGCCTGATTAAATCACCACTAAACGAAGAGCAAAAACATAAACATCCATATAGCCTGACACAACCAACTTGTCCACTACAAAATTAACAAGCTAATCAAATGCAGTTTTTTCCCCTTTTTGTTCTTTGTTATCCAATAAATATCATCTCAAAGGTTCCATTCAGAACCACATGTAAACAACTTGAAAATCAACTTCACTGAAGAAAAGACCATACTTGAGGATGCAGAGTAAAAAAGAAAGGAAATGCAGCAGAACCTTCGCAATAACTTGTACAACTTCTTTTCCAGGTAAAATCAAAATCTTTGATGGAGCCTTGCTGACACACTCTGCCTTTTGGCCTCGGAGAGAAACATCCTTTATCAAGCGAGCCATTTTCAAAATTATTGCTGAAATTGAAAAGCAAGGGAATGCTGAGAACAAAATAGACTAAACACAGGATTGCACATGACACTAGAGCATAATTAGAATCAATTTACAACACAGTTAACAACAAGTGTAAAATCTCTTCAACTCAACTAAATTGACAAAACTTACCAAATTCCTTTTCAGCATTTGTTGTGTAACATGTTCCAGAATATACGGATCCATTTTTCAGCTGGACCTCCACGGGATGGCCAATAAGACAGGTTGTTAAATATACTAGCCGATCACGCAAAGGACTCTCGTAAACTCCAACTTTTCCCATTGCACCTACATCAAAAGTTTTAGAATTGGAATATATAATCTAGAGTGACAAGAGCTTCAGGCCATGGAAGCCCACCTGCATTACTCAATCTATTCGTGTGTGCTTTTCCAGATTGCACCTTATTTTCAAACCTTGTCCCCCAATCTCTTTCAGTTCTCCGACGACCAAAACCATTAGCAGAAGATTTGGGCTGCATAGCCGGTTGCAAATTCATCTCAACAGCAGCACCTTCCTCTGGCAAATAGAAACAGGTTTAAAGTCAGCTCAAATCAATGCACTACAGTGTGGCGCCAAAGATAAGTATAGATACCTTGAAAGCACATATAGACGCAGTAACAAACAGATTTTAAGGGGAAAAGGTAAGCCAAAAATATGGCCATAGATGGAGTAAAACATAGAGATATAAGTTTACCCAGCCCTGACAAGTTTGAACCAAACACCTTGTTTAGTAACACAGGTGCCATGCAGTTGCTGGTTTAGCACTTGCATAACTGACATGATACTACCAACCACCAACTAGATGTGCCAATTGAATGGATTCTCTAACCAGTCTCAACAGACCCTTGATAATTCTTAATCCAAAAGATCATCATCCCTGCAACTAGAGCGACACCCTAAAAAGACAACATTAGTTGTCTTAAAAATTCCCCTTTCCTAACAATCAGAACTCAGCAGACATAACACAAGTCAATCTGACAGCCCTTATGCATCTCCTCTCACAAAAATCAACACATAGACAATAAAACAGTATAAAACCCTAAAGTTGGTAACCAGAAAATAAAAAAAAGGCTGAATTAAAGTAACCCTAATACACAAATTGCTTATTAAACTATTATGATTCAAAACTTAAAGCAGTTATTTGATTTGAGTACGCTTGAAAATATTGAAAGTGTGAAATCAATGGCGACACAGAAGTAATTAAGAAAACGATCGTCATTTACCTGCAATAAGCTTCAAATAATTAAGCTGTAATTTAATTTTGACGCAGCGTCGACAACGCGAGCGGGGGGAGGGGGGGATTGGACTCGCTGAGTTAGGGTTTTTTATCAAAGAGCGTAAATCACGAGGGGAGAGTCTATATACATGTATTAGCGAGGGGAAGTGAGCGGACTCGGTGTGATCGATCGGAAGGGGTGGTGTTTGGGTATGTTATTTTGAAGAGAATGTGAAATACAGAGGGTGGTGATAAAAATTGAAACGGAAGAGGAATGATCATGTATATACGAATGTAGGGAGAGTTTGGTGGGCAAAAAAAGAAAAACCTAAAAGAAAAGGAGAAAATACTGTTTACCTAGGCAGTTCACCATGAATGAAAATAGTCTTTTCTCCTTCTTGGCCTTTAAAAAAAAAAAGAAACTTTTAGCGAAATATTTAAGGTAAAACAATCTGTGTATTAGGATAATTTTATTGTTCTAAAATTAATTAGAGATATGACAGATATTTTATGTTTTAATTATATAGTTAATTTACATCACTGTCCTCAAAAAAAAAATAGTTTCTATTAAGGGTTATTTTTTTATTTTTATATAAATATGAACAATAGAGGCCTTTTTATAATTTTAATTTTAGTTGCACGGTAAAACGTTGGCACTTTTGATGTTAAATAATTTAACCCTTAAGTTAAGGGGTATTTGTGTCATTTTCTTACTATTCTTTTATAATTAATGAGTTGAGTGGGTTATTTAAATATTTTAATAAATAAAAAAGAATTAAAAAAATATATTGACACATGTGTGAGCCTTAGCGTGTCAACTGACATCTTAGAATAGTGCGTGCAGCTGATTCAAAATATTAAAATTATCTTTTTAAGTTTGTTTTTAATACATCTCAATGTAATTTCCATGAGAAAATGATGCATACATAAATAAGTTTATTGGTATGTCCACCGTAACCAATTTTTTTTCTTCTCCATTTTTACCGCTCTCTTCCTTGATCTTTGTGCATGCCTTATAATTTTTTAGATGAACTATTAAATTTTTTTATTTAAATCATGTTATTTTAATTATTATTTATTTTATTTTATATAATTTGTAAAATTGAAATTTGATTTGCTATTTATAGCAAGTTTTTTTATTAGATTTAGTCATTTTATTTAATTTTTTAAAATTTTACCCTTTATAAAAAATTTACTCGAAGTCATATTTCAACTTTTAATTTGTTTGGATTTTAACTTTTTGGTTTAGCATTTCACATATTACAAGTTTTAAAAATCATCCAAACTTTAAAGGGTTTGCTCGAGATTTATTTGTTTTATTTAATATTTTTTAAAACTAATGTTTTTTTCAGTTTTTTTATATTTTTTAATTAAAGATTGAGCTCTATTTTTTTTTCTAATATTCTGTATCTTTTGTTTTTTATTTGATTGGGGTTTTTTTGTGTTTTTTTACTTATTTTTGTATTAAGTTTATTTTCATAGATAAACTTAATCCTTAAGTTAAATAGAATTGATTAGTTGAATATAGGCAGATGATCACTTTTTTTTTTCTTTTTATGACATTGCTTTAATGACCCATATAGTTTCTTTCAATGTTGTCATGCAGTCTTTTGTAGTGGGGTTTGGATCGTCCCAGCAAAGGTCTTTTAATAATGGGCATTGTCCACAGTTGAATGGCAATGAGTCTCCAACGTTCTTTTCTTTCTTCTCATGTTAGGTATGATAATGACATCTCATTTATTTTAGTTAATTGTTATCAAATATTTTTTTTATAATTCATCTATTATTGTTGCCTATGATTTAGATCAGACTATTACATTACTTGATCTTATTAGATTCAAACAAGTTAATAACTCAAACATTGGGTTTTTTTTTTGTTTATTTACAAATATTATAGTTGCCTAAACATCCATGTTGTACGTTAAAAAAACACTGATAAGACAACAACATAACACAGGTCAAGTATCTCATGATTTCACTGTTAAATGTTTAAATGTGTGTTTGGATTAAGGGGTGGTTAGGGTTTTTTAATAGGATAAAAAAAATAACAAAACAACATATATTTTTAGCTTTTAATGAGATGTGGTTTGTGCTATAAGAGGATTATACCTACAAAAAAAACTCAACATCATCTCGCCACACCTCAATTTTAAACATACATTAAAGAGATGTATAAAAATATGATAGCGGTTGTTTTTTAAAGTATTTTTTTACTTAAAAATACATCAAAATAATATTTTTTATTTTAAAAAAAAATATTTTTAATATCAATATAACAAAACTATCATAAAAAAAAATATTTTTAATATCAACATAACAAAACTATCAAAAAAATAAAAAAATAATAATTTTAAGCAAATAAAATTTCAAATTTTGTCCAATCTCTAAATGGAATGCAATGTCAAATGAGACATAAGTACTTGTTTAAGAATATGGTAAGGGAAAATGAATTTGAATGTTTTTTTTTTAAATTACTCCATAAAACAAAACCCTAAAAAGTATGTAATTATACATGAGGTGTGGATTGTACTTAGATGAATTGTACCTAGAAAATCCAAACTAACCTCACCTCACTTAAAATATATTTTAAGATTTTGTTTAGTTTTATATTCTAATAATATTTTTAAAAAATTTTAAATCTTTTTAATTTTAAATTATTTTTTAAATCATTTTAATATAATAATATTAAAAATAAAAAAATTATTTTAATACATTTGTCACACTCCTCGAACAAGCTCCAAGTTTAACTCAGGTAGATTTTAACTTTTGAAGGGAGTAATTTCTTTTTTGAGAACATTGAGGGCCGGAGTTTTTAGGGTTATTGTGTTTGCAAAGGTACTCAAAATTAATTTTTCAAAATCCCATAAATAATTTCAAGAAAACTACCAAGCACGTACGAAAAAAGTTATTTGGGATAAAAAAATTATTATTATTTTGTTTTTCAACTCCATGTTAATCTTTGATCTTGCGTCAAAAAGCTTGTGTCAATATAATTCATGCTACGATTAGAAAATTATAAAAGCTTTTGTTTTGCAAAATCTCACCGTTGTTAAATTTCACCCCCCTAAAATGTTTTTTTTTTTTTTTAATTTTGCCGTACCAAACTAAAACCCCTAATGGTCTCTCAGTGCTAAACCACAAGGTAAATAAACATGTGCAATTCTGCAACCTCACCGTCCTCAATTCGATTATGCATCTTCCGCAGCTTTAACAACAGCCTCATCATGCCAGAATCCTTATCAGGATTCGTTTAGCTTTAGAAATGGTTCCCACACATATTGATATTCTAAACTACAGTTCCAAGGACAAGGACAAGTCACCTGAGCTCCATCATTTCCTTTCAATACATTTTCACATGTAAGAACACAGAGATAGGAATTATACAAATGCAATTGGTGAATATTAACCAATAATAATCAAGCGTGAGAAACAACAAAGATAGTAGCTGCGATTCAGTTTATGTCCACTGATCCATTAACTTGTAACCAGCTCTGCTGCTTCCTTTACTATTACTTTTAAAGAAGAAATCAACAAGCTTCGATTCCATTGCCTGCGTTGTCTTCAATCTCTAATGTTCAGGACAAGCACAAACTCACAGAAGGTCTGTCAAGACTGAATCACTAACATTGTCCTGAAGCCTCACACCTCTGCACAGCCAAAAAACAAATGACACAAGTTTCAGCCAAACTTTCTTCAAATAGGAAATAAGGACAGCCAAATTGAGGGCAGCTGTTTGACAACGAAATGAAAAGAGCCGGACCATGGAGTATGAGAACAGATAAAAAAAATATTGGGGTCACATTACAAAGCCTTGAATTTTTTCCTTTCAGAGATTGAATGAACATTAAGAGGCGAATAAGAATAATAAGAGGTGATCGCGGTAAATATTGTTTTTTAAAATATTTTTTATTTAAAAATATATTAAAATAATATTTTTTAATAGCAATATATCAAAATGATAAAAAAAAAAACATAAAAAAATTAAGCACAAAAATCAATTTTTTGAGAAACACGGTTTCAACCTTGTCCCAATGTCCAGTACGAGAAAGTCAACAACAAATAGGAACACCAAACCAACAGGCATAGGGCAGCGGCAACTTGGAAGGAAACATTGGCTCCAAATCAAATAGCAGAAGAAAGTAGCTTGACATTGAAATGAAAGATCCAATATTGCTAGAAATCCATCCACGATTTGCTGGATCCATGAAGATTGACGTCATCCACAACATGGACATGGAGCAACAAGGACAAGGATAAGGTTGTAGTAGCTATGGTCAAGACTCTAGAATGGATATTGCCACAAATGCTCAGACCAGAATACAAGACCTGGACGAACAGCAAGAACCAAAAGAAAAATTCACTCTCAAAAAGAAAAAAATCGGTCCCACATCAGAAGGTACATACCACTTGCAATCACAGTTGTAGATGGATCTTCTCAGACCACTTAAATATATCTGAATAAACTTGATCACCCCCCAACTCTTCTCCTGTAGCACCAGCTGCCACTCTCATTATATCCTCAATCAAAGCAAAGTTTCCCATTATATCAACATGAGCACCACTTTGGGTGCCCCGGCCTTCTAAGAAGTTTGCTGGAGGAGAATGAGCATACTCTCTAATGTACGTTCGACTTCCTGAAGGATTGAATCTCGTTTTCCCACGCCAACCTTTAGCACACATTAAACCTGAACTTAAAACAGGAACAGTCTCATCCCCATCAACAGAATAGACTCCACCTTTCAGACAGCTGTCTTCATCTTGTTCATCAGCTGATGTATCAATCTGAAATGGAATAGCGCACTCAGCTGAAGGAGATAACTTGTAAACATAAGCTCTTTCAGTTGGTACGCCCACTCCATACAGGGAGAAAATCTCCATTTCTGGGGCGTTGGGCAATCTGTAAAACCAGAGTGAGAGGTTATCATCGACGTGAAGACCTTGTAAGACACTCATGACTAGGGCATTCAATCAGGTAATTGGACATCATGGAAAAGAAATGAAAAAAATAACAACCCAAGAGACTTGATAGCAGAAAACATTTGAGAAAATGGAATTCAAAAGTGGATTTGTGACACCATGGAAAGAGAAATCTTAAATATCAAGAACATAATGTTGTACAGTGCATCTATGAAAATTGCATACTAGCATGTTTATTAACAGAACTGCATGTTTATTTAAAAAAAAAATCAACATCAGAGAATTTCCAATGTTCAAACCTGATAGTGTTGATTTAGCTTTTTCAGTGGCGCAATAGTCATTCAAAATTTTCAAATTAATTCTTAGGGTTTAAATCTCTTCGCACAATACACACTATAAAATCAGTATATAGTTTGGCTTCCTTAAAAAACATAGCTATTTATAGTTGGCACGTTTATACATAAGCATACCTGTGAAATGGGAGTGTATGCAAGCACTATGACTAGACGCTATTGTTCAACACATCACAAAACTACTGCCAAGAAGACTAACATATCACAGTTTCCATGTATAACTGACTAAGTGGACAGAATCTCACTTTGTCTCCAAGGGGTTTGACCAATATTTGTAGTGCTGGTATTTTGGATCATCAAAATTGTCAGCAATTCCATAAGAGAAAGGAGCCCTGCCACGCTCCATCATCTTTGGGGCAACAAAGCGCAGCAGATCTATCATAGATTCAGCAGTATAAACCTTATATTCTGCAACAGCTTTAATACCTCCAAATCCCATGTCATGGTACTCTGTCCACACATCACGACAGGAGGTGTTTGCAACACTTTGGCCTTTAACAGCATCCTGCATGTTAAGATAGAACAAAACATATTAAAGAGAACGGGGTTTCTTAAAAGCTAATTCTGATGTGTAAAAGCACTAAAACTCAGAATGAGAGATTAGTTAATCTTTCTATGACGAATAGACAGTCATAATTAACAAAATGAAAAATTATAATCTTAAAACTGACTGCAAGAGAGTAAAAGGTAAAAGTTATTAAATCTGCATAATGTAATTAGGTCAAATGGTAAAAGGAAAAAACTTGCACAGATAAGCTAGAAATTCAAAGATATAGCTGTCTTTTCAACAAATTTAGGAAAACAAATAAACTAACCCTGAAGTCAATCCTCTCAATGTCAGATGAAAGTGCCTCAGCTACATCTTTCCCAAATGATATGATCCTTCCATAATTAGCTCTCTTCGTTTGAGAGATCTCACTTTCAGGGCCATCTTGGCTTGCTTTCTGGGTGTCAGTGTTTCTTTGCTTACTCTTCATGGGAGTATATCCTTCCTCAGGCGACCAATCAAGATCACCCCAAATAGTGTCTCCACCTTTAGGAATCATTGACATGGTTGAATCCCATGTGCGAGACATTCTCATTATATGTTGCATTGTCTGAAAGCCATTGTCCAAGACACCAGGTGCGATGGCCCTGCAGGATGAGGGATGTTCTAAAACATTCACTACAAACAAGACCAGTGCTGGCATACAGATATATAGATAAATTAAGACCAGCAGTCATGTACAGATAATCAAATAAATTGTGCCAAGTAAGTCCATAAGAGCAAGAGCCTCTAGGAAAGCAATAGCATGACCAACTGTCCTTCAGCAATAAAAGAGCCATTTCTCATCTCAAAAATAAATTAAAAACAAAGATAAAGCAGATTTAAGAACAAAAAGTTGAAATAGGATGAGTAGAGAGCAACAAAGATATTAAAAATCAGGCAAAGGAAAGAAACCCAAATCTCATATTTTGCAAGAAGTATAGTGGTTCCCATTAGAACTGTAGTAGTGATTAGCCCCTACCAAAAAAATTATCAACAATGATATCACAGTGTGAAAGTTTATGCCTTTAATAAATAAAATACTGAATCCTTCAAACCAATTATCATTTGTGCTTGAGAAAATAACTAAGACGGACAATAGATAGAGATTAGAATAAGAAAGTTGCCACTCAAGAACCAATAATTCAGATGCCAGTGCAAGAAAAGAAAAACTTCCTCAGAACACAATATAGCATAACACAATACTTGCCCATAATAACTTTCTCCCGTTTAACATGCAAATTGAGGAATTTCTGGCATGCAAAAATTACATTTCTCCAAGTTTACATGCATTGCCAGTGTTTCAGGTCACAGACAAGAAGAATTTTTGTCCAAGGTGCGTGATAAAGTAGGCTACTGAGTGAGACCTTGAGGACATCTCAGAATGTCATCATGGAACAGACTTTGAAAATGAAATAAATGGAGTTAAATAGGTCGATATTTATGGTCATCATCTATGGAAAAAATATTCAAGATGATGTATCATTTTGCTGCAAGTTATGATTTCCCCATGTGAGTCACGCTCATCATTAAACAAGCCATGAGAAGCCTTTACCCATTAACTACAGTAGGAGTTATAGCCATAAGAAGCTTGCTACCCATTAACTATAGTAAAGTAAAGCTAGAGATCAACCTGGCAACTGCAATATCCTTCGCTTCAGCAGAGAAAAGTCCAGAGACAGCTTTTGGAACGCCTAAAAATGGTCCACCAATATTCATCACTGCCTTGATATGCTTAGCACACCAATCTGGACCACCCCCACCACCCATTGGAGCTGGTGCCTCCACCCACTTCATAAAATGCAGAAAGTACAGAACACCCATGGAATGTGGTATAATAACGGCCTTGTTTCCACCATTTGCTTCAACCATAAGTTCAATAGTACTCTTGATGCGGCTTAATGTTTGGTCACGGACCTGATTAATTGAGTTCAACAGATAAATTCATTCATGGTGAAAGTACCAGGTTCAAAGAATAAATAAATTCTGCCAGCATAAAGGACACAAATGATAAACTTAAGTTCCTAAAAAAGAATAGACAGAAACCTCAGTGTTCTGAAATGAAAGTCTCCAGTCATATGATGCCATGTACATTGTCTTCTCCTCATATCCAATGCGTGCCAAATTAGCAATCAAAACTGCCCAAACAAAATATCCAGGAGCAAAGTAATCGGCTGCCACAAGTCCACAGACAGGCCTGACCCTTATACCAGGAGGATCCAATCCAGTTTCATTGTCTAGAGACATATGTTCTACCCAGCAGAGAGGCCTAAAAAACACCCAACAAAGAAAATGAAGAATCACCTGACAAAGGACAAAGGGCATTTATGAAACTCCACAAGTTCACACACAACTAACAGTGAGAAAGCTGGCAATGATATCTAATCTGGACCGGCAGTGTTACCCCTAGGAATGTCTTTATGGATTCTTGTTCCAGATAGCTACTGCCTCACTCTTTTTCAGCGGCGTAGCACAGGGTATAAGGTCCTAGTTAACCAGGAGAAGGGCAAGGTCATTTTCTCAAAGTATCTGTTAAAGTGATCGAACCTGACTTCAGCATAAGAGAACATGATATCAGACATCGCACTTGCCTATTTATAGTTGGAACAATACCAACTAAGAAGCAATTTTAATTGACAATAATTCTCCACCTTCTTCCATTCTACATCTCAAACACCAGTCTTGCGAAAAGGAAAGCCATTTAAAAATGAAGTATCGATACCAAGATTTCCAAAAACGGAAAAAAGTTGACAAATCAAGCAAGAACAAACTAATTTGTCTCCTCGACAACTGGCCACATTCCTTTCCGTGAAAGTTACATCACACAAAATTAATTAGTGATATGCCGAAATCAAATCTACTAAGAATAGGAAAAGAGGCCCAAAAAAAAACTAAAACCTAATGAAAACAATGACAGGTAAAGCCTAATGAAAACACTTAATCAACAGAGCTCATGAAACACTCAGCACATAAATGCCTCCAAATTAACAAACCCCGTGAATTATATTTGGCAAAGAAATGTATAGACTCATTGAAAGAACAAACCACTTCTATTTCCATTTCAACGGACACCAACACACACAGTGTATTCTATCAACAGTAAGTGAAAACAAATGAAAAACCCAACAATCATCCATACCTACCACTTCGATTTCCATTTAAACGGACAGGCGCGCGCGCGCGCACCAAACACACAAAGTATTCTATCAATAGTAAGTAAAAACAAATGAAAAACCTTTCAATCATCCATGCCTACCTTTTATACACTTCACCGAAAGTTCCACCCCAAAGCCTTTTCCTAAACAACCCGTCAGCACACTGATGCCCTTCCCACAGCTCAAGCCCTGCAGTTACAATTCCAGGAACAAAAACCACAGGATGTTTTGCCTTGAGTCCTTCTTTCCTCAACTTTACACCAGGTGGATCAGGCAAAGGACCCGTGATTGCCTCAGTCACATATTGAGGGAGAGAAGCAGGCATAACGTTGTATAGAAACAATAAAGTCCACCAGGTTACGCATATGCACCCAACAATCCAACAACAGTTGTCCACACATGACCATTTTGGTTTGGATTTTTTGTCACTCTTCCTGTGGTGTTTGTTTTTGCTATAGTCCTCCTGTACTTCTTCCTCCTCATCCTCATCCTCTTTTTGTAGTGAGGTGTTCCTGGGTTCGACGGGTTTTCGGCGACGAATGGAGGCCATTGTTCCTTTTTTTTTCCGGGGGCGGGGGGGGGGAATCAATTAGCTTAAAAAGCAGAAAAGAAATGGAAAAGAGCAGAATCGAGTACAAGACATCGAGAAACAGAGCAGTTTGAGTTTAACTGAGATAGGCGAACAAGGAAGACATCAAAATGGGCTTTTTTAGCTAAGATGGGTTTTGTCTTATCTATGTAAAAAAATCTCGAAAACTTTTTTATTTGAAAACGTCCGATGTTCCGGATGTTTGTTGATTTTTAAAATAATTTTTTATTTAAAAATATATTAAAATAATTAATTTTTTAGATTTTTTATCTTTTAAGTTAGAATATTAAAATTATAAAACATTAAAAATATTTTAAAAAATACTTAAAACAAATAAAAAAACTATATTAAAATAATATGATGGTTACTTTTTACTTAAAAATATATTAAAATAATATAATTTTTAAAAAAATTATTATTTATTTTATTATATCAAAATAATTTAAAAATATTTTTTAAACAGAAAAACAAGCATCCTCAGAATTCTAGTGTTTTTTCCATGTTCACGTGGTATTTTCCATTAGTAAGGAAAGTTAAAACGACCACGAATGTTCTGAAAGGTGCTGGCATCTCCTCACTTCCTGTAACAGGCACGCGTTGTGGGACGATCATTGGTTATCTTTTTCTCTAGGATAATAATAATAATAACCCCAACTGGAGCCACAACAAGATTAATGCTGTCGTTGCTTGCTTCAGTGGGACACCAATCCATTTTGGAATAAAATAAAATAAAAAAGTCTGGAAGTCCATTTATTATAAAAATAAAAAAGGCACGATTTTGATTAATTAAATTAGAAGTGAACGACAATTAAGGAAAAGCCTTGGCCTCTTGTTAATTATGTGATCCATGATTGTGTGAACGTTTTAAAGTACCATGATTGGGTAAATATGTCTAAAGTACCCATAATCATACTATATAATTGTAATGTTTTTAAATTTCAGAAAAAATCTACCAAAATAAATCTTTTGTGTTTTAAAAATATGTTTGGTTTGAAAATATATTAAATTGATATTTTTATAATTTTTTTTAGTAATTTTAACTTGTTGAAATTAAAAAGTAAAAAATATTAAAAAATAATTTAAATATATTTTTATTTAAAAAAATATTTTAAAAAACTTTATGCATGACCTAACGCCCGCCGACCGACCGTCGCCCTTTATAACTATATTTTCTCCATCGAGTTTTTCCTCTTTTGACTGGGAAATTTGTGACCGTCAGGTTGGATCGGTTGGTGAAGAGAAAGTTTACGTGGGATCCATGCAACAACGCGTGCTGTACGTGTGACTGGATGAGGACAGATTGTAATGGGTCCCATAGTGATGGCCAAGTAAAAGATGTGGCGTGGCTGGTTGTTATTGGGTGATGGGTATGTTTTGATGTTGTTGGAATTATATTTTTAAAAAACTTTATTTGAATTAATTTTTTTATATATTTTAAAAAATATTTATGTGTTAAAGTTAAAAATAATTTTAAAAAATATTATTTTAATATTAAAATTATTATTTTTAAAAAAATATTTTAAAACATAACCGCTATCGTATTTTTAAATATACTCGCATGATATTCTTGAAAAGGAGACTTCGTGAAATTTAAAAATATTTAATTTAAAATAAAAATAAAGCCTACTAAGAATATCTCCTATCGTCTATTGGATGAGTGGTGGAGGATCAGTCGTTAAAGGTAGTTTGGTGTTTTTGTGCTTAAGAAACGGTCAGCAATTTCTTAAATTGATAACACATGTAATTAAAATAAATTTATATAAAAATTAAATTAAATTATGATTAAGCTTTTTTAAACTTGATTTTAATTATCTTATAAAAAAACTTAATAGTGACTAAGATGAAAATTATCATGTACGAGGCCATATAGTTTTATAGATTTCTTATTTAATCCTAGACTATTAAAATAAGTACTTGAAAAATCTCAATGATTTAAATTATAAAGTCAAAATATATTTATTGGGTTACAATTTTTCTTCTTGTTTATATATGTATTTTTTTAATTTAACATGGACAATTTTTTCTATCAACAACATGGGTTTTTCAATACAATTTTGAAGCAACGTGAAAAATTAGATTATTTAAATTTAAAAGAAAATATATATTTTCTTATACAAGACTTTCTTTTCTTTATTCATTATTATTATTATTATTTTGATGAGCATTTATTTTACTAGCAGCTTGGTTCATCATGTAAAGACTTATAAAAAAACAAATACTAAAAATGGAGAAGGTTTATTATACCCCTTCTCTTATAATGTTATTCAATTTTTTTTTAATTAAATTTATTAAAAATTAAAATTTATAATTTTATAATTTTTATTTTATATATATTTAGATTTATCCAGTTTCATGATCCCAACTATAAGTTTGATGAATTAATTTGTCTAGCTCGAGTTTTTTTTTCTAATTAATTTTTTTCAATTCCAACCTTTAATAATTGATTAATTAAAAATTAAACTTTATAATTTGTTTTAATTTTCTTTTCATGAGATTATTTCTATCTCTATCTCATAACTCGGGTCATGGGTCTGATGAGTTAATTTAAGTTTAATTATATTATTTTTATATATTTTTTAATTGATTTATCAATTTCAATTGTATCATTCGATATTAGATTTATTAGGAATTGTTTTTATAATTATTTTTCAATTTATTTCTTATAAAATCATCTCTATTTTATGACCTAAACCATAGGTTTGACAAGTAATCTCGATCAACTCAAGATTCTTTTCTAATTGATTTTTTATTTTACTGTTATCATTCAACATTAGGTTGATTGAAAATTAAACTTTATAATTTATTTTGGTTTGTTTTTTATGAAATCGTTCCCTTCTTATAACTCGAGTTATGAATTTAGCGGGTTAACTCGGGTTAACTATAATTATTTTTTAAATTTTTTTTTAATTTCATCTTTAAGGTGGTTTGAAAATTAAATTTCATAATTTATTTCAATGTATTTGTTTTTGAGTTATCTTGATTTCATGACCTAGATAACAAATTTGTCAAGTTAATCCGAGTTTACTTGAATTATTTTTTTTAGTCATTTTCTAATTATTTTTAATTCCATCCTTTAAATTTTTTATCTATTAAATTTGGTCATTATTTGTTTAATAAACTTGAAAAAATATTAATAAGTTATTTTCAAACTAATTTTCTATAATATTGATATTTAAAAGTGTTTTACAGCTTATTTTTAATATATTATTAAATATTAAAAAATAATTTATTTTCTAAAAATTGACTTTCCATAAAAAGCACTTCTAGAAAAAAGGAAAAAAAACCTATTTTATTAAATCTTAAAATACATGCAAAGATATCAATAAAACTACTTTTCTTGAATTTTTGTATTTAATTATGTTAAATCACACCATGTATTTTTTATTATTATTTATACAAATATAATTTTTTATTATCTTTTAAGAGACTTGATCATATGTACATAAATAAAAAAATATTTGTTTTGTATTTTGTTTCAAAATGAGGATTTTTTTATCTTTTATATTTTTTTGATATTTTGAAGAAAAAACATATATATTTAATATTAAATTAATATATTTTAAAATAAATTCACAGCTACGATATTAAGTGAAAAGTTTAAAGAATAAGTGAAAGATACACAAATAATTTTAAAATGATACTTGAATTTTTAGAAACTATTTAGAGCTTGTTTTACAAAATAAATAAATAAACAAGGAACAAACAAGTGTTAAAAGAAAATACACGCTATTATCCAAAATTAAAGGCATTAAAAAGTGTTTTAAAGTCGTAGATACAAAAAAGTATTTTTCAGTTTGGTAAATTTTTGACTGGACAAACATGCCTTTATTTATAGAAGAGGCTCAGATCAGCTACATGAGCTGGGCTCAGGTCCAGTCTTGGCTTGGTCTATTTGGACCGGCGGCAACATGGCTCAAAAAAAAAAATCGGCTCATCAACAATAACAGGTGCTCTCTTTCAGCTTTTTAGAAGATCAAAATGAAGCATTTTAACAATATTTCATGCCATGCAATCCAAAGAAAAAGTTACCGTTGCTGTCTCATTTAGGTACAACACGACATGCTTCCTTCTCCCTTCGTTTTTCTCACCAAGAAAATGCATTGTGAAGGCAGTTTCTTCCCTTCCTTTGGCAAACCCGAAGCAACAAATATATAGTAAAAAGATACCTGTGTTGCTCTGTTGAAGACTTCAACCGCTGCTGATGAAGACTCAAGCTACTTCAAATGGCCAAAAACACAAGGGGGCAGTGGGAAGGCTACTAGAATTGTAACTCAGCCACTGGAACACTAGCGCTCTCGACTGCATAGAAGAAAGGCTATTGCTGGTGTTGGAGGAGCTGGCGGCTGGCACTGCTGCTCAGAAGAGATGCACCCTGCTTTGCTAACGACGGCAACACTGCTGGAGCAAGATGATGTTTCTGCGCTACTGTGTTCAGAAGAGAAAAGCCGTTGTTGGCTCTTTCTGTATTACTTCAATGGACTAGGAGGCTGTTTGCCGCTGAAGGAGGAGCTGCAAGAGGATGTCGGTCACCGCTGTTGAACTGCTGAGGAGGAAACCGCAGCCAAAGAACAGGTGTTTGCATGTAGCTAATAAAGACCGAGATGTTGCTAATGTTGTGCAGTGAAGATGAAGTTACAAGGGTTGTGCTGGTGCATAGCTGCTCTTCTATGATGGTTAAACAAATCCCACGAACAGCTGAGGAAGATGTCAGTTGCTGCACTTGTGAGAGGGGCGACTGCAACGTTACACTGATGTTGCTCCTTCAAACAGTTGTTGTTGTCAAAGCAATCAAAATTAACAGAAATAAATAGACTATGTATAGTTTAAATTAAAAATATTAATTTATTCTTAATAAATAAAACAAGATAAATATATATATTTCTTAACAGTGAACAAGCCACTGTTGCTGCAGAAGAAGAAGCCACAGGTGGCTAGGAGAGAGGAGTGAAGTAGTTTCTCTCTGCCTCTCGCGGGTTTTGTGGGTCTTTGGGAGGTTGGAGAAACTTTTTCGTGTATTTGTTCGTTTCTTTTCTTTTAGTGTGAGCATGCTGGTGGGTGAAAGAGTATTTCGTGCTGTATGATTTTTTATGCTCAAACTAATT